AGGATCCCAAAGGATTCCTGGATAATCCTGAAGACTCCGCAGGACTCAGCAGATTCCAACGAACTCCTTCCGACTCCTGAGAAAGCCTGACGGCTCATGAGGAACACTAACATTCAAATTGATGCTAAGAGTAGCACGAAGACTGAGACTGAAACTAAAACGAATACGAATACGAATGTGAATGGTAATAATACGAATTTAAAAACGAATACTAATACAAACGAATTCAAATGCGAACGCGAATACTAATACGAGTACACATCCGAATACTAATACTGATAATGATACGAATTTGAATACGAATGCAAAGACTGTTACGAATACCACTACTACTGTTACTACTACTACTACTACTACTACTACTACTACTACTACTACTACTACTACTACTACTACTACTACTACTACTACTACTACTACTACTACTACTACTACTACTACTACTACTACTACTACTACTACTACTACTACTACTACTACTACTACTACTACTACTACTACTACTACCACTACCACTACTACCACTACTACACTACTACTACTACTACTACTACTACTACTACTACTACTACTACTACTACTACTACTACTACGACTACTACTACTACTACTACTACTACTACTACTACTACTACTACTACTACTACTACTACTAGCTACTACGACCTACTACGACTACTACTACGACTACTACTACTACTACTACTACTACTACTACTACGACTACTACTACTACTACTACTACTACTACTACTACTACTACTACTACTGCCACGACTACTCCTACTACTGCTACTACTACGACTACTACTACGATACTAACGACTACTACTACTACTACTACTACTACGACGACGACGACTACTACTACACTACCACTACACTACTACTACTACAACTACTACCTACTACTACTACTACTACTACTACTACTACTACTACTACTACTACTACTACTACTACTACTACTACTACTACTACTACTACTATAACTACTACTACTACTACTACTACTACTACTACTACTACTACTACTACTACTACTACTACTACTACTACTACTACTACTACTACTACTACTACTACTACTACTACTACTACTACTACTACTACTACTACTACTACTACTACTACTACTACTACTACTACTATTACTAGTACTACTACTACTAGACTACTACTACTACTACTACTACTACTACTACTACTACTACTACTACTACTACTACTACTACTACTACTACTACGACTACGACTACTACTACTACTACTACTACTACTACTACTACTACTACTACTACTACTACTACGACGACTACTACTACTACTACTACTACTACTACTACTACGGCTACTACTACTACTACTACTACTACTACTACTAATCCGCTGGCCCCCTTGCGGGGCAATCAGGCTGCGAGGATGAGGATTGCAGCTCCCTGCTCCAGTTGCAATGTCCAGTTTCCACTGATACAGTCCTGCTTTCTGCTTCCTTACTGCTGACTGTTGCTGAACGCGCGAGGGGGGGAGCCGGAAAGCGTCCTGGCCAGCACCCTCGAATCGCGTGCTCTGATCTCCCATGTGGTGGTGGGATACGTGAAATGACTTGTGATTCGCGCCCCCGAGGCCATCACCCCCCGTAATTTACTCAAGATTCACGTCCTCAAGAACATAATCCCTTGTAAATTACAAGATTTCCGCCCGAAACCATTAACCCTATTAAATTATACAATATTGGCGCCCTCGAAACCATTATCCTTTGTAAATTATGCAATGCTCCCGTCCTAGACACCATTTAACTTCTAAATGATACAATGTTCGCGCCCCCGAAACCATAAACTGTTGTAAATTACTTTGGGTTCGCCTCACGGAAACCATAAACCCAAGTAAATTATACAATATTCGCGCCCCCGAGGCCATACAATCTTGTAAATTACGCGATGTGTGCGTCCCCGAAGCCATAAACCTTTGCAAATGACTCAGAAGTCGCGTCCCCGAAGCCACAAACCCTCGTAAATTAAACAATAGTTGCGTTTCCGAATCCATAAACCGTCATAAATTATACGATATTTGCATACCCGAAGCCATGAACACTCGTAAAATATACACGATTCGCGTCCCCGAGACAATAATCCCTGGTAAATTACACGATATTTGCGTCCCCGAGGCCATAAGCCTTCATGTATTAAATAAGTCTCGCATCCCCGAAACCATAAACCTTCGTGAAGTACGCCGTGCTCGCATCCCCGAAACAATAAACCCTCGCAAATTGCGCAATATTCGCGACCCTGACACCATAAACCCGCGTAATTTACAAAGAATTCGCGCCCACGAAGCCATAAACTTTTGACAATTAATTGAGATTCGCGTCCCCGAAGCATATTACACCATACTTGCGTCCACGAGGCCATCAACCCTCGCAGATTACACAATATTCGCGTCCCCGAAGCCACAAGCCCGGATAAGTTACCCAAAATTTGCGCCCCCGAGGCCATAAACCTGCGTAAATCATGCAACAGTTGCGTCCCCGAGACCACAAACCCTGGTGAATATCGCAATACTCGCGTCCCCGAAGCCATAAAACATAAAACTGATCTAATATTCGCGTCACCGAAGCCATAAACCTTCGTAAACTAACATTGGCCCTCGCGCGAAGTCCCGACATTGCTTCGCGTCAGCGTCCAGACATCACAACACACTTCTGGCAAGTCCCATTCTAGGAGAGGGGGGCCGGCGGCATGGCGGCGAAGCCCTTACGGATACAAATGCGCATGGTACAACGAATACGAATACGAATAGATATGCGAATGCGAATACGAAGACGACTAATTTTAATACTCAGACCAATACAAATACGGATACTCGTACGAATACTAAGACTAGGACTACTACTGCTACTAAAACGTCTCATAATACGAATGCAAATGCAAGTACTGACACTGATAATACTAGTATTACTAATACTCATACGAATTCTCATAAAAAAATACTTATACGACTACTAATACTACTACTACTACTACTACTACTACTACTACTACTACTACTACTACTACTCCTACTACTACTACTACTACGACTACTACTACTACTACTACTACTACTACTACTACTACGACTACTACTACCACTACTAATTACAATAATAATACTAATAGTAATACGAATACCAGAATTGATGCGAATACGAATACGAACACTAAGACGAACACGAACACTAATACTAATACAAGTAATGATGCGTATACAGAAAAGAATGCTAAGCTTCATAATCAGACTTACACTCATAGTAATACGCATCATCATACTCATACGTACTGCACCCAATACAAAATCAAATGTTAATACGAATATGAATACTGACACTCATACGACGACGAATACTAATACCAATACGAATACGAATACTAGTACCAGTACGAAAAAGCATACGAATGCACCTATTAATACGAGTGTTAAGACTAAAACTAATACTCTCACTGGCACTAACACTTATCTGACACTAACAGTTATACTAATACTGATACGCATACTCGTACTGAAACGTATACGAATACGAATATGAACACGAGAAGCCCGGCGCGACAACAATTGGGAGAAAGCCTACTGCAGGGCGCATCGCTGAGCGCATCGCTTGGCACTGCTTGGCATGAGTTCGCATTGCTTGGCATTGCTTGACATTGCTTGGCATTGCTTGGCATTCCTTGGCATTGCTTGGCATGCGTGTGCATTGCTAAGAATTGCTTGGCATTGCTTGACATTGGTTGGCAATGCTTGGCATTGCTTGGCATTGCCGAGGACTCTGGGGACCCCGAGGAACCCAGGGAACCCGAGGAACCCGAGAAAACCGAAGAACCCGAAGAACCCGAGGAACCCGAGGAACCCGAGGAACCCGTGGAACCCGAGGAACCCCAGGGACCCCAGGAATCCGAGAAAGGTCCAGGAAACGTGCTAGGTTGGGTCTCAAGACACCAGTTCTTAGCCAAGTAGGAAGCCCTTAGGCAAAACAAAATGGGGCAATACAACTACGACTACGAATACGAATACAAATACGAATACTCATACCAATACGAACACGAATACGAAACCTATACTAGTACTACTACTCATACTGGTATTAATACTCTTACTATTACTCATACTAACTGATACTAATACGAAAACTTATGCGAATACGCATACGAATACTAATACCATTAATTCTACTAGTTCGAATACTCATACTCATACTCATACTAATACTAATACGAATACGGATGCGAATATAAATACTACTACGAATACTCATACTAATACCAAAATAGGTAGACTAATACGAAACCGATTGCGAATGCGAATACCGCCACTAACACAAACTCGAATGCCAATACGAAAACCGATGCTGGTACAAATGCTCATACTCGTAGTAAGTCGAATACCAATAATGCAAATGCTGATACGAATTCTGATGCAACTGTTCACACGAATCAGAATAATAATCATCATTAGCATCACCAGCATACGAATACTTATACGAATACGAAGTTTGATACTCAGTCGATTACAAATACCAATACTGATACGACTACGAATACACATGAGGTCCAGGATGACCCTGGCCAGGCACGGTGGTGGTGTATAGAGACTCTCTGCGGATCTTATGCTTGGTGCCATATCATTGGTGCCCTATGTCTGGTGCCTTGTGGCAGGTGCCTTGTGGTGCCTTATGACTCGCTCTGACTTGCACCACATCGCTTGCACTTCGGAAGTGATCGAGCCTACTGTGTTGGATTCACGCGCTTGCATCGTCTGCTAAGATGCCCCGCGTCACCTGAGCACCCGAAAGAAATTAACATGCTGGGCCCCCAAGCCCGCGGAAACGAATGAATTCGCAAACGCATTCGGCTTGCGCGTGTCAGAGGAGACGTCGACCAAACCTCTGCGTCCAAGCCGGACAGCATGGTCGCGAAGAGAGAGAGAGAGAGAGAGAGAAGAGAGCGAGAGCGAGAGAGCACAAGGGCCTCCTGCATCATCCTCCGCATGGACACGGCACACTGGATGTACAGTCTAAGCCTCAGGAGTTTTGCTCGCTCGGCCCTGCAAAATGCAAGCGAGAGTGGCACCAGTCCGCCCGACATCATGAGCTTACATGGCACGTTGGGCCACTCACAAACACATCAGGGGCGACCTGATTGTCTGCTCATTCTCCTCGTCCTCGGTCTGCTCCTGCTTCTGCTCCTCATCCTAATCTTGATTCAATGCCATGCATCCCTGTTAAGACATACCATTTCAGAACACCACTACTGTGCACCCCAAACTACAGCATTATCCGAAATGCAGCCATGTTCGGTAACGCACGGAGCTGGTCGCGATAACAATGAGCAGAAAACAAAGAAACCCTAGTTGGAGGATGGTGAAAATGAGAATGGTGAGGACGAGAAGTGAGGAGAAGAAGGATGCTTTGGCGGAGGGAGGACGCGCAGGCGGATGAGAAGGAAGAGAAGGAGGAGGAGGAGGAGGAGGAGGAGGAGGAGGAGGAGGAAGGAATATGAGCAGCAGGAACAAAAGGAGACAAAGGAAAGGGGTGGTGAAGGCCTCGGTGGGGCACGGGGAGAGAGGAGGAGGAGAAGGAGGAGGAGAAGGAGGAGGAGGAGGAGGAGGAGGAGTAGAAGGACGTGGAGGCGAAGAAGGAGACGAAAAGAGAAGAACGAGAGACGAGGAGGAAACTGATGACGAACAAAAAAAAGAGCAGGACCTGAAGGAGAAAGAGATGACGAAAGAGAAAGCATGAAAGGGGTCCCATAGGTAGGGAGTGGTGGTGATGAAGATGAGGAAAGGGAAGGAAGAGGAGGAGGAGCTGGCGTAGAGGAGTAGAAGAGAAGAGGGCGCTCAAGCTGAGGCCTGGGCTTAGGTTGACAATGACGAGGATGATAGAAGGGCATGTGGAGGAGAAAGCAGGCTGATAATGAGGCGTAGGAGGGAAAAGCAGGAGAAGCAGGAGGAAAAAAAGAGGATGCCTGAGTCGGTTGAGGATGATGACGTGGAGGGCCCAGGAGAAAGGACATGGAGGAGCAGGGGAAGAAGAAGGGGGAGACGGAGAAACAGGAAGAGCAGGATGCGGAATGACAAATCTGAGCATAGTAATGCTTAGGTGCCAGATAGTGATGATGAGAAAAGGGAGCTATAGGAGAAAGAGCACGAGGCCTAAGCTGAGGATTATGCGAAGAGAACAGGAGGATGCAGGAGGACATGCAGGAACAGGAGAGTAAAGAAAAGGCGGACGAGAAAAGCGGAAAGTACGATGACGATATGACGATGGTGACGATGGACCATGGGCACGCACCACAGTGAGCTCGGAAGAATACATGCGCATAGACGCATGTCGTACGCACCACCGCATCCAGATGCATGTCGTACGCACCACCGCATCTCTCTCTCTCTCTCTTTCCCTCTCTCTCTCTCTCTCTCTCTCTCTCTCTCTCTCCCCCCCCCAGACATCCACCGATCCGCCAGCGTGCCTCTGGGCACGGGAGTGGGCGTATCCTCGGGTACTTTGCCCGATCCCTGGAGCCGCCGTCCTCAGTCCTGAGTCTTTCATCGGGAGCGGCCAAGAGGGGGGTGTCCAAGAGGGGGGGGTGCAAATCATGACCGGCGGCATGTGCGCGGCCCAGCGGGGGGGCCAGGGACGTAATGAAATAAGAAGAGGCACCATGAGATCTGGGGAAATATCATGGCCCACGCCATGATATCCAACCCCGCCTAGGCATCACCCCCCTCTTTTCCGCCCCCGATTTCAGGGGCCCAGACCCCAAATTCCGAAATCCACCGCGGCTTGTCGCGTGCCCCCTGGGCTCCAGCGCGCCTCCCCGCGTGGCGCCAAGACGGGCCAGAAGGGCCCCAAGCGGTCTCCAAAACGGCCCAGGAGGGCCCAAAAACGCCCAATATGGTTTCACAACGGCCCAAGAGGCCTCCAAGACGCCGCAAAAGGCCTCCAAGATGCCTCCAAAGAGGACCCCACGAGGCAAAAACTGTAGGTTTTCCATTGGTGTTTCAAAGATTTTGGCGTTCTCGCCGTTTCGGCTCTCCGACGCTCCAAGACGGCCCAAGAGGCCCCCATGACCACCCCAGTACGGCCCCCATGACCACCCCAGTACGGCCAAAGAGGCCTCCAACAGGGCCCCCAGACGGCCTAGGAGCGCCTCAAGACCGCCTAAGAGGCGCCCAAGACGGCCCAAGAGGGCCCCAAGACGGCCCCAACAGGGGCCCAAGAGAGGGAACACGAACCGAAAATCCGAGCCTTCCGCTCCAAGAGGCCCCCAGGAGGCCCCCAGGAGGCCCCTAGAGGCGCCCAGGAGACCCCAAGAGGTCCCAAGAGGCCCTCAAGAGGCCCCAAGAGGCCCCCTAGAGGCCCAAAAGAAGCCCAAAGAGGCTCCGAAACGGCACCCAAGAGGTCTCCAAAGTGCCTCCAAGAGGCCCCCGAGAGGCCTCCCGCGAGATTCCAAACAACATCCAAGTGGCTTCATACCGACAGCCCAGGCACGGTGGTGGGATGGGCCGAGGGATACTAGATATGATTTTGTCGATCCGCCGCCCTAGGGCTCCCAACCCCTTCCCTAGGGGTAGCCTTGCGCCCTGGGCAAGCTTTTGATTGCCCCGAGACCCAAAAGCGGCCCCCGAGGGCCGAAACGGAAAAAAAAAAAAAAAAAAAAAAAAAAAATGGAAAAAAAAAAATATACTAATAAATATATAAATGCGTATATATATATATATATGTATATATATGTATATATAACGCCACGAATGAAACAAAAACATCAGATCGTCGGTGGTCTGTCTCTCTCTCTCTCTCTCTCTCTCTCTATATATATATATATATATACATGTCTCTCGCCGCCCTTGGAGGTTACGCAGCACACAGGATAAAGGTCCAGATAGCAAGTCGCCGCATTGCCGCGGGCACCACTGGTCCATCGCAACGAGCGTGGGTGGGCACCCAGGCAGAGCAGGGTCTCGCTTGGCTGTGCGTAGGAGGGAGAAAACACTCTGCTGGACCGCCCACGAGCTACCCAAACCCCCGGAAAGCCGCTGGCGAGGCGCAGGTGCTGGAAAGCATCCCGAGGCAACAGAGCCTCGCTTCCGGAACTGCGGCATTCCGCCCGCCGCCGCCCGTCCGTCGCCGCCGCCGCGCCATTTCCGTTTTTCTGTTGGTTTTCGCCGCCGCCGCCGCCGAGGCCGATTCTGAGAGGGCGGGCCACTCGTCGGGGCTCAGGAAGGTCACGTCCTTCAACCTGGGCGCCGCGTCGCCGTCCTCGGGGGGGGCGGGCGCGCCCGCGGTGGCCGGGGCACCGAGGAGGCCACAGGCCGCAAGCGGCGGGGGGGCGCGGCTCCAGGGCCTCAGCCGGGAGCGGAACGGGGAGGAAGGAAGGCGGGAGGAGGGAGGGAACACCAGGCCCCTGCGCCTCCTCCTCCTCTTCCTCCTCCTCCTCCTTGTCCTCCTCCTCCTCCTCCTCCTCCTCCTCCTCCTCATCCTCCTCCTCTTCCTCCTCCTCCTCCTCCTCCTCATCCTCCTCCTCCTCCTCCTCCTCCTCCTCCTCCTCCTCCTTCTCTTTATCATTATCCTCCTCCTCCTCCTCCTCCTCCTCCTCCTCCTCCTCCTCCTCCTCCTCCTCCTCCTCCTTCTCTTCCTCCTCCTCCTACGCAACCTCCTCCTGCACCTCCATTTCCAAATCCATGTCCATTTCCATTTCAATAGAATCCTCCTCCACATCCTCCTCCTCCACCTCCTCTTCCTCTTCCTCCTCTTCCTTATAAACAACTCTTCCCTGTCACACCCCGAAGCGTGTTGGTAGGGCTGGGACAGCGTTTCGCATGAGACTCCCCAAACATGTACGCGGCCCCTAAGCTGAAAACTTGTAAGAGCTTCACGGGTGAAGGGCGCGTCGTTTACAAAATGCGGCTTTCGCCTGAGCGCCGCGCACATTCGCCTTACAAAGTTGCAAGAGCTTCACGCGTGGAGAGCGGGTGGTTTTCAAAATGTAGTTCTCGCCTTACTTAGCGCCGCGCAAACTCGTTAAAAACAGGAGTTCACGGATTGAGGGCGGATCGTTTCCAAGATGTGGCTCTCGCGAAAGAAAATGCAAGAATGCCACGAATGGAGGGCGGGTTATTCTCAAAGTGTGGCTCTCGCTATAGCGCCGCGCACATTCGTCTTCAGATAGGAAAGAGCTTCACGGATGGAGGTCGGGTCGTTTTCAAGATGGGGCTCTCGCCTTAGCGCCGCGCACATTCGTCTTCAAAGCTCCTTTTGACAATGTGGACCTCGCCATAGCGCCGCGCACTTTCGTTATTAGAGTTTACAACAGTTTCAAGGAGTTTCATTGTTAACGTACCAAAAACGGCGTTTTGTCACGATGTCGGACTGTCATAGCGCGACAGTTGCGTTGATTCGCGGTGCTGAAGTCCCAGGATTCGCGTTCTGGCACAATTCTGGATCGTCAAGACGCAACACTCAAATGACTCCTGGCGCTGAATCCCAGGAACGGTGTTCTCGCACAGATGTGTTTAACACACCCAAAAAACAACAACAACAACAACAACAACAACAACAACAACAACAACAACAACAACAACAACAACAACAACAACAAACCGGCGACGCCTCCTGGCGCCGGCTCACATAGAGTAATCGCACTCGATTACTCCGTGTACCCGAAGCAGATTATTCGTGGATTCCTGTTGGAACCTGCATATTGGATACACGGAGAAATCGCACTCGATTACTCCGTGTATCCGAGGCAGATTCTACTTGGCTTCCTATTTGAACCTGCATATTGCATACACGGAGCAATCGCAGTCGATTGCTCCGTGTACCCGACGCAAATTCTACTTGAATTCCTATTGGAACCTGCATACTGGATACACGGATAAATCGCACTCGATTACTCCGTGTATCCGAGGCAGATTATACTTGGATTATTATTGGAACCTGCATATTGGATACACGGAGTAGTCGCAGTCGATTACTTTGTCTATCCGCGGCAGACTCTACTTGGATTCCTATTGGAACCTGCATATTGGATACACGGAGAAATCGCACTCGATTGCTCCGTGTATCCGAAGCAGGTTCTAATTGGATTCCTATTGGAACCTGCATATTGGATACACGGAGCAATCGCACTCGATTGCTCCGTGTATCCGGGGCAGATTATAATTAGATTCCTATTGGAACCTGCATATAGGATACACGGAGAAATCGCACTCGACTACTCCGTTACTCCGTGTACCCAAGGCAAAGTGGATTCCTATTGGCACCTGCATATTGGATACACGGAGAGATCGCACTCGATTGCTCCTTGTATCCGAAGCAAATTCGAATTGGATTCCTATTGGAACCTGCATATTGGATACACGGAGCAATCGTAGTCGATGGTCCGTGTATCCGACGCAGATTATAATTGTATTCCTATTGGAACCTGCAGATTGAAAACACGGAGTAATCGCACTCGATTATCCCGTGCATCCGAGGCAGATTAGAATTCGATTCCTAGTGGAACCTGCATACTGGATACACGGAGTAATCGTACTCGATTACCCCGTGCATCCGGGGCAGATTAGACTTACATTCCTATTGAAAACTGCATGTTGGATACACGGAGAAATCGCACTCGATTGCTCCGTGTATCCGAAGCAGATTCGAATTGGATTCCTATTGGAACCTGCATATTGGATACACGGAGTAATCACAGTCGATGGCTCCGTGTATCCGAGACAGATTATAAGTGGATTCCTATTGGAACCTGCATATTGGATACACGGAGTAATCGCACTCGATAACTCCGTGTATCCGAGGTTGATTCAACCTTGATTCCTATTGGAACCTGCATTTTGGATACACGGAAGAATCGCAATCGACTACTCCGTGCATCCGAGGCAGATCTTATTCGGATTCCTCTTGGAACCTGCATATTGGATACGCGATGCAATCGCAGTCGATTGCTCCGTGACTCGGATACACGGAATAATCGCACCCAATTACTCCGTGTATCCGGGGCAGACGCCACTTGGATTCCTATTGGAACCTGCATATTGGATACACGGAGCAATCGCACTCGATTGCTCCGTGTATCCGGGGCAGATTCTATTTGGATCCCAATTTGAACCTGCATATTGGATACACGGAGTAATCGCAGCCGATGGCTCCGTGCATCCGAGGCAGATGATGCTTGGATTCCTATTGGCACCTGCATATCGGATACACGGAGTAATCGCACTCGATTACTCCGTGTACCCGAGGCAGATTATGCTTGGATTCCTATTGGCACCTGCATACCGGATACACGGAGTAATCGCACTCGATTACTCCGTGTACCCGAGGCAGATTCGAAGTGGATTCCTATTGGAAGCTGCATATTGGATACACGGAGTAATCGTACTCGATTACTCCGTGCATCCGAAGCAGATTCGAATTGGATTCCTATTGGAACCTGCAAATTGGATACACGGAGTAATCGCACACGATTATTCCGTGCATCCGAGGCAGATTCTACTTGGATTCCTATTGGAACCAGCATGTTGGATACACGGAGTAATCGCACTCGATCACTCCGTGTATCGGATACACTGAATAATCGAGTTCGATTACTCCGTGTATAGCGGCACCAGCAAGCGTTGCTGGTAACAACAACAACAACAACAACAACAACAACAACAACAACAACACCAACAACAACAACAACAACAACAACAACAACAACAACAAGAATCCTCATCGCGGAGATCCACTTCAGCGACGCACCCAGGGACAGTAAATGACCGTTCGGTTGAGCCCCCGCACTCTGACGAAACTGCCATGGGCGCCGCCCGACAACCACCGAATAATCAAAAACCAATGCGAAACACGAGGGGGTTCTCTACAGATTGAACTACATACTGGGGAAAAAGCGACAAACGAACTAATTTCCCTGAAAACAGACGTCTCTTTTCAATAGACAAACGACGCGACATGAAGCAACATACCCACCCTTCTCGAACAACGATAAACAAACTCGCATTTCGACGTGAACTACTCTACTCGAACGACGCACAACACATACAACAACATCTGAAGACTAACTTTTCGGGATGAACGAAAGACTGGAGAAAAGAATACCACTTCTACGCAAACCTGCGAACTTTAGATGAACAAATCCGGAACAAATCCGTGACAAAAACATTCCGCAATTCCTGAAAAAATCGGAGCCAATGGGGCCCCACGCGCATTCCTTTCGAAATGTTCGTGCTCTACCTCTTGGACTCGATTCGGTCTCCGAGCCGGGATCGTCAGACGAAACAACAATTAGGTACACAAGAATCCAAAATCCAGAGAGCCGGTCAAAAAGCCATCGGTTTTCCAATAGGAATAGAAGCCGATGGGGCCACGCGGGCATTCCTTCCAAAACGTTGGCATTTTACCTCTTGGATTCTATTTTGTCTCTGAGCCGGGATCGCAAGACGGAAACAAAATATACGAAAATCCCAAATCCAGAGAACCGGTTAGAAAGCCAGTGGTTTCCCACCAGGAATCGGGGCCGATGGGGCCCCACGCGCAATCATTCCAAAATGTTGGCATTTTACTTCTTGGATTATATTTTGTTTCTGAGCTGGGATCACAAGACGAGCAAAACATAACAAAAACGAAAATCCCATATCCAAAGAACCAATTGAAAAAAAAATGGTTTTCCTACAAAAATCGTGATCGATGGGGCCCCACGCACATTCCTTCCGAAATGTTCGTGCTTTACCTCTTGGGTAAATATATATATATATATATATATACATATATATATATATATACCATGGCGCGCGCTTCGCGCGCGCTTAGGTTCTAGCCGGTCGAGTGCTGACCGCATTGAGACAACACGGCGGTCATGAATAATGAAATCAACATTCTCTGTTTCATACCGCCTCTTCCTCATGCCTCCTCCTCCGCTCTCATCGACAGGTCGACTGATGATATGTCGCCAAGCTTCTTGGGGACCCCTTGACCCCTCCTGAGGGTCTCCTGGGGCGAAGATCTCAGGTTCTCGGTTCACGTTCTCGATAGTGGCCTTCGGCCCATCCTGCCACCGTGCCTGGGTTGTGGATTAGAGGCCCCTTGGAAGTTCGTTTGGGATTCGTGGGAGGCTTCCCGGGGGCTACTTGAAGGCAATTTTGGAGGCCTCTGGGGGGCCATTTGGGGTGCTCGTGGGGTGTCTTTTTGGGGCCCCATTTGGGGCCTCGTGGGCCCTTGGGCCTCTAGGGCTCTGTTGGGGGCCTCTTGGGGCCTCTTTG